GCTGGAGCCGGGAGCTGCAGACACTGATCCAGAAGGAGAAAGAAAAGGTGGGAAGTGCCCAGAGCCGCATCTCCGTGCCTCAGCCTCTTCCTTCCTCGGGCTGGAGCTGTGCGGGGGGGAGCAGGTTTGTGCTTGCAGGGCTTGGACTTGCTCCACAGGCACTGCCGGGCCTGCAGCCTGCACTCACAGGGCAACAGAGAGGTGCAGAAGGGTTAAAAACCAACAAGAGACCCCAAACCCAACCTCAGGGCTGCTTCACGGGGAGGGTGAAGGTGTGGCTGAACGGTTCAGTGGTACAGAGGGGAGGATGCCCCAACCTCAGGTGAAGCAGGAAGAGCATGGGAAGGGCCAGGCTTTGGGCTGGGTGAGAGCACGTTGGGGCTTCTCCAAGCAGTGATCCACTTGATTGCTGTAAAGGTTTCTGTTGTTTTAAAACACACTGAAGGAGCTCTGCAGATGAAGGTGCAGTTCCTGGAGCTGGCAGTGGCCAGTGAGAACATCCCCCATGACCTGTGTGAATCCCAGAGACCTGCACCTCACCTCAGCTCTCCAGCACCACAGAACATGGGTGCTCTTGAGGCAGTGCCTGGTGTGAGGAGGCTGGAAAGCTCCAGCACGCTGAGCTGCTGCTCTGTGCTCAGGGGCTGGGTTTATGCTGCTTTCTCCCCGGCCTCCAGGAGCCTGTGCTGCTGCTAATGGCAAATGAACACGAAGAACTACTGAGCTAAAGCAAGGGCTGAGCTGAGCACCACCCCAGCGCAGCTCCCTTCTCTCTGTACATCCACTTCATTGCTTTGGTTCCATTTCTAGTTGGTTTTCTGGTCACTGGGAGAAGTAACAGCAGTAACAAAGGGAGGCTCTCATTGTGCTGTGTGAGACTGGATGAGGTGCAGTGATGCCAGACATGCCTGAGGCTGCTCACTCCACCTCATACCTCAGTTGTTAACTAAGGACTTTTCCCCACTGATAATTGACTTCCCTTTTTCCCATTGATCCTTTATTTCCCTGTGCCCCCATTCTTACAGCTGGGATCTGAGATCTTCAGGAGTAAGAAATTATACAAAAGCAAGTTCCCAATGACCCTGAGTTTAGTGCTAATGGTAATTATTGTGTTGCTTTAGAGCTGCTGGGAAGATCCTTCCACATTTGGCATCAAACACTTTCTAAGCTGCTTTGAACAGCAGTTGTAGCTCATGGGCTGGGCCAGCTTCCGCTTGCATACATGGGCACAGCTCTGCTGCCCACAGCAGGGCTCTGCTCGCTGTACTGAGAAGCCAGTTGTATTTAACATACACCATCTGTGTGCGACTTCTTTGACCCAGGACAAAACCTGGCTTCTGGATTCCAATCCAGCATTCAGGTTGTCCTCACCTTCAGCAGATGATGGGTTGGAATGAGCAGGAAGGGTCAGGCTTTTGCTTTTCACTCCAAACCATTCTGCATTCGTATGAGACCAGCCCCTGGTTTAATGCTTGTGCTGACCAAAGTCCAGGGGATGAAGTGGTGCAAGTGTGGTAGAGCACTAAACCCAAACTGCTCCTCGTGGTGGGGTGGTGCTGGGAAGCGCTGCTGCTGGGGGCTGGAAGGGCTGGAACATCCCAGCCAACACCGTGGTTGTTCTGGTTTTAGCTGGACGCCAAGTTCAAATAGGAGCTGCTGGAGACAATGACTGTGCAGAGGAGCTGCTGCCACACCAGCACAGGCAGAGCAGGAGGTCCTGGCTGGAGCCATGGCAGAGGCCACCAGCCCTGCACCAGCCCACATGAAGGTTTTCCTACCCGAGACCTCAGAGCTGCCACTGCAGGCACCGAGCACTGCTCCCTCGTCTGGCATCACCAAGAGAGACTTTCCTCTCCCATGGCTCCAGCTGCCACCCCACCAGCACACCACTGTTCTACCACGGGCTGCACCAGTAAGCACCGGGCCCTGCACATCAGAGAAGGTTCAAGCACCCAGCTGCCATTTGGGGCTCCCTCTTTCCAAGCCATCCGACCTCAGGGACCCTCAGAGGGTTTTGGCTCTCAGGGAGAAGCTGGAAACACTGCGAGGGTCAGGCCTGAGGGCAGGAGAACCTGGAGCAAGTCTTCCAGCTCCCCCTGGGGATGAGCATCTCCCACCTCCAGCAGCTCCTCCTCAGCCCTCATCTGCCAGCTCTGCAGACTCACAGTGGTCATTGTCCAGATGAAGTCTCTGCTTGTCAGGGACAAGCTGCCCAGGGGGTGGCTGCCCTGGGCCCTGTTCATTGATGCCACTCAAGCTGCTGAAGTTTGGAATCAGTGCAATGTTAATCATTTAGTAATAAAAGAGTTTAATTCTGCTGCTGCTCTCACCTGAGGGGTTTCTGTAACCCTCCCATCTCCTCAGTGTCACACACTGTCCCCAACACCTCTCCCTTCACCACTTCTTACCTCACACAGGTACCTTCCCTGAGCTGGGATCACAGCACCACAGCGATGTCCCGCTCGTGCCCGGCAGAGGTACTGTGCATATCCCAGTGCAGCACCACAACCCTCTGGGCAAGGAATTGTTCCTCAGCTCCAGCTAAACCTGCCCTGGGGCAGCTTGAGGCCGTTCCCTCTTGTGCCATCCCTTGTTCCTTGGGAGCAGAGACCAGCCCCCTCCTGGCTCCATCCTCCTGTCAGGCAGTTGCAGAGAGCGATCAGGTCCCCCTGAGCCTTCTCTTCTCCACACTAAACCCCCAGGTCCCTCAGCCCTTCCCCATCACACTTGTGCTCCAGGCCCTGCTCCAGCTCCGGTGCCCTTCTCTGGGCTCTCCAGCAAGAAGCTCAAGTTCCTGCCTATTGCACAGGTAGGAAACAGCCAGAGCACAACTGTCAACTGCTCCAGAGCATGTCCAGGACACGAGGCACAGTCCTGTGAGCAACTGCATGTCCAGGGCTTGAGCTCAGGCTGTTTTGCAACCCTTGAGCTTCAATGCTTGTTTCATCTTTGGGATGCTCCCCTGGGTCATACTTGGTGGTGATGCAGGGAAAGGTTCTGGCTTAGCCCCAGTTTAATGCTACAGTTTCACCTCCCAAATGCAGCTGTAAAGCTCAGAGTGGTCAGAGCAGAACCACACACTCAGAAAGAGCCAAAGAACCTCCCTGGCTCATCGCGCCCCATGAACCACTGCCACGAGCTCATTGTGGTTTCTTTATTCCAGCATCACTTCTGCATTCCTACTCGTGACAGGAAGTTCGGGATCTCTGGGACGTGACACAGGCTAAAAGGTTTTCTTTAAAATAGTTCTCTTTAAAAAGCAATCAACCAAACCAGAACAAGACAAACCTAAAGCCACAGCGAAGGGCAGGACGGGCACCAGCCCCGGGTGTCCCTGGGGAAGCCAAGGCAGGCGAGGGCAGCACACAAAGCACAGTCTGGCCTTTCCTTTGGGAAGCTCAGGATGAGGAAAGGCCCATGGCAGAGACTGAGCTGGGAGGTAACAGGAGCTCTGCACAGTGCCAGGGGCTGAATGGCAGCGTGCTCCTGGCCAGCAGCAGTGTCCTTCTCCTCTGGGTGGGAACTGGATGGGAATGTTGGTGATGGGAATGCTGGAAGCTTCACCCAAAGGCTTCATGCTGCTCCCTTCAGTGCACACGCTGCTGCTGCCCTCACTCGTTACACTCACAAGTTCCCACTCTCCTGGATGTGCACAGACACCATCACACACCTCCCCCGGCTGCTCCCCAGGAACTGCTGTGAGCCACCCCTCGTCCCCTGCTCCTGCAGCCCCCCATTCCCACCCGTGATCCCAGGAAGCAGCTCCCCCTGGGCTGCCCACACTTCCCGTGCACACTGACAGTGCTGCACATGCACACAATGCTCTGCAGGGTGCTGAACTCTGATGGTGTGGCCAAGATCCTTCCCCCACCCCCTTCCTCCCAAATAGCCTGTATTTAAAAACCATCCTACTGGGAAGTCCTGGAAGCAGTTTGGAGCGTGAAAACCTCGAGGTGGAGCCAGGCCTTGGGCAGGAGTGGAGGTGTGGAGCTGGGAAGAGGTGGGAGGTGCTCCTGTGAGGGCTCCAGGCTGGATGCAGGTCCT